TTCTCTGGAATGTCGCAGGTGCAGAACAGAGGCTGAAGGGAAGCACTTTGAATTCATATAGGCCATCCGGTGTAACGAAGGCAGTTTTTTCACGATCTCGTTCACCAACTTCGATCTGCCAGTAGCCACTTTTCAAGTCTATCGATGAAAAATACTTGGCGCGCCGCAGTCTGTCGAGGGAATGGTCGATGCGAGGCAACGGATACACGTCTTTTTTAGTCACGCTGTTAAGTTTCCTGTTGTCCACGCAGAAGCGCAGTGATCCATCTTTTTTTTTCACGAGCATGACCAGAGATGACCAGGCACTTTTCGAAAGTTGGATAATGTCATGCAACATCTCTTTGACTTGAGCATTTATAACGTCACGTTCCTTTGCCGAAATGCGGTAAAGGTGTTGTTTTATGGGCGAGGCGTCGTTATGCGTAATTATTCGGTGTTTGGTGATCGGTGTCTGATGAACCTTCGAGGTGGACGCGAAGCACTCTTTAAATTGATATAGCAGTTCTCGTAACTCGGTCTGTTGTTGTTCTGAGAGCGTCGAGTTGACATCAACTTTTCCAAGTAGTGAAGTCACGTCGCTTGGTGTCGGTCGAAACCTGTCGTTGGCTGATGTAGATGCGAAGCATTCAGAAACGTCTGCGATAGGGTAGGCGAAAGCGATGGCGGTGTCACGAAACAGGTGCCGATACTCGTTACTGAAATTAGTCACAAGTAGGGCAGAGTGTCCATCATAAAGCGTGACGAGGCTGCGTGTAGCGCAGACACCTAGCGCGAACAGAAGCGTCAAGTCGCCTTCGGCGACAACCTCATCATCCTGTAACTTGTCAGACACCACATCGACCAGGACGCTTGAACGCGGAGGCAATGTGATGCTGTCGGCAGAAACGCGAAGCGTGCTGTCATGGATGTCGTCGGGCTTGTCGGAGGATCCAGCTGTTGAAAACGTCGTGGTACGCTCTCGAAGATCGATAATAGCGCCGTGCTCTCGCAAAAAGTCGACTCCGAGGATTTGGTCTTGGGAACAGTCACTAAGTACGAGGCAGCTGGCGAGAAACGTACGTCCCCGAATGCTCACTCTGATAGTGCATATGCCGATTGGGGTGACTACATGCCCGCTGGCAGTACGAATTTGTGCTTCGTACCAAGGCGTTACAACTTTCTTTATGTGCGCTGCTAGTTTCCCGCTTATGATCGAGTAGTCCGCACCTGTGTCCAATAATGCACTAACGTCGTGGTCACCGTCGACTACCACATGTATATCCAGAGAAAATCTGCTACTGGCTTTCGTCCCTGTCGTCGGGGAATCGCTCCATGTCCATGCTTGCGTTGGTGGGAGGCCTTGCTTGCGTCGAGTGTCAGCGGCCTCGCTCCCGAAGGTTGCTGTCGTTAGTTTTCCCGCCTAGGGCTTGGCGGGCGCGCCGGCGCCGCTCCTGGGAGGCTCCGAAAATTTGGAGAAGATCGCCTTGGGGATGGAGACCGCGACTGCCGCCGCAGTGGCATGCGCTGCTGTGAGAGGTCATCTTCAATAGCTCTCGGTCTTTCGCCAAATCTCTGCCATGGTGCGTCGACGGCAAAACCCTGTAATCCGAGGTGACGATAGGGACATTCCCGGTACACATGTCCAGCTTCACCACAGTGGTAACGCAGTGGCGGTCTGTCCGGTGTGCGCCATACGTCGGATTTTCTGGGAAGCGGCTGTCGATTTCTAAGCGCTGAATTGGCTGCAGCGAAGGAAATGCATCCTGATGCATAGGGATAACGAAGCGCGGTGAAGCAGGAATATATCGGCTTACAGCTTCTGCGTATGATGCATGATGGGGCTCCGCCGGGACAGGCGGGACATAGCTGGAAGGCGGCACTTGGAGAGCCTGTCGTACTTCGTTTCTGACAAGGCTGCGAATAGACCCTGCAGTAGGTTGGGACTGGCACTGAATCTTTTGTATTTCGTCACGCACCACCGATCGAATGAGATCGCAAAGAGACTCGATGTTGCCTGCTGCACCTTCGATCTGACCTATTGACGAAGCGGCACTCACTTGCCGGTAGTACACAGTAGAGCGCTGCTGCAGCAATTGCTCTGTGGTTGTGGCTTCGGTCAAAAATTCCACCACGGTCTTTGGGGGACAGCGAATGAGACCAGCGAAAAGCTGCTCCTTCACTTCTCGCATTAAATGACGGACCTTCTTTTCTTCTGCCATATCGGGGTCAGCTCGACGAAAGAGGCTCATCATGTCCTCGACGTACATCCTCCAAGCTGAAATACACGTTTCTCATTTTGTCGAAATCTGTCCAACCATTGTAAACCGAAACCCGTTCGAACTGGGCCAGCCAGTCTTCGACATCCTCCAAGACGGAACCGTGGAACACCTTCGGCACACATGGCTTCCACAGTGTATGATGCGTGGCTGCAGCGCTTTCCTGTGCGTTGGAGGCTGCAGCACCTTCCGTAGCGTTCGGGGGTGTAACAGACGTCATCTCGGGAAGAGGTCCACGCTCAGGAGGTTGTTCTCGGAGTCTTCGGCTTGAGCTGTGGGCAGGTGTTGTCACTGCAGGTACAGGGCTACCTGGAGGCGTTTGGAACACCGGCTGGGGGTTACCCAGCAGCTCCACCAGTTGTCACGTGCTACAAAAAGTCTTCAACTAGGAAGAACTGAGCCCCAGCGGGGAGACGCACCGAAAACTGGCAAGATGGCTGCTTCAATAATAAACAACTAGCCAGAGCACGCACTGCTCTAGAACATCGTCTTCCATTCTCGCGGGCAGCCATGGCTTGCACTCGCCGTAACTAGCGGCCAAGTGGCAATATGATGAAAAGATGTGAGATGGCTGTACTTGGAGTGTTCACTAGATAGACGAATGGACGGACATGCAGAAGGACAGACAGACATAGGGGCAGATGCACGGAAAAACGGACAGACAGAAGCAAGAACTCTGGGTAAACTGGTGTGCGCAAATACAAACGACCCAGAATTATGAACAGACTCGCCCGATAAAAGTTTTACTGGAAGCAAGAACGAATGGATGGACGGACTGACGAATGCTTCGCCCCACCAATCTTCATTCACTCCGTGGATATGCTGTGATTTTTTCTGTACTCGCTTTATCTGACAAATTGAGCAAATAGTCCGAATGAACTGTCATGGCTTGAAAACAGTACCAGAGAACTTTATGAAAAAAGTAATCCTGCAATGCTTTAGCTTAGTGATTGTGCATAGATCCCATTGCTTGTACTGTGTATTCTCCAGTGCCATTTATGGGCTTACAGCAAAGCTCCACCCTTGCAGCTCCCACGTAAACGGGCCGGAATGAAAACATAATTTGTTGCAAATTGTGTTGGTACATCTTTTCAAATAACTGCAGCACGATAACAGACAAAAAGGAAACAAAGATGACAGAAAAGTTCAGAGCTGATCGTTGTTGTCTTATTACGACTTAGTTTTTTTTTACACTACAATTATTTGAATAAACACATCGTTTCAATAGTAGTTACACCAGAGCCAGGTCTCAAATGAAAAGCCTGCTCAGGCGGCGTTTTGCATTTTGCATGTAGTGTTCCAACTTAAAAGAACGGAACAGCATTATTGTTTCAGTATGGAACTGACGTCCATCTTAATCTGCTATATTCCTAACTTCATCCTTCTCTTCATTCTTGCCCTCGTGCTTCTTCTTCTCGTGTCCCAAGGCTCATATTGCTTCATTACATGTTCTGCGGGAGCTAAACTGTCTAAACAACAGTACTTTCTCATTTTGTGGAAATGTGTCTTGAAGCTACGTTTCAGAAAAAATAAATATATACTCGCCATGACACTGTCTACTTCTAGAACTTATTTAGTGTAAACTGTGCTGCAAGAATTAAACAGTCTTATCAATAGAAAATCAGAAAATCGATCTCTGGTAATCGTATTGTGGTTTTAGGACATGAAACCCCAACAATTATTATAAGTTTTATCAATATACTTATATATTTGATGTATTTATAGTCTTGTCATTATATGCGATCAATATAATTAGTTGTATACTCATCAATATTGTTACTATTGTGCCCTTTTGTTTTGCAGGAGTGTGTTGACAAACTATGTTTTATAAAGAAATATACAACGCAGATAAATACCAAGAGGCATTCTTTTTTCTGCACTACTCATTGCCCTCGATCTGGCGATCGGTCGGATAACACATCTATATCAAAAGGCCTGTGGAACACCCACACCTCTGGAAATTTTTCTATGCCATTTAACTAATTAGAAGCCAAACTGTAAGTACGGCATGCAGCCAAACTGTAAGTACGGCATGCAGCCAAACTGTAAGTACGGTGGTGGTAATAACTGCGGTATTAATCGTGAAATGTGCTCCGGCATTGATCAAACTGTGGCACTAAACTTCTCTCTCTGGGGGCCCATTATGATCTAGCATGCACTTGCTTACTATAAAATTTCTAGCCACCTTCAACTCGACATGTTATTTGTTATTAATTTTATATCAGGATGCCCAACAAGCCTCTTAGCCTCTTGTGTGAGAGCGTAGTTTCATAGGGAAATACATATTCTTCAAGAACATTACGTCGTACAACATCGACACAAACCAGCATTTCTCTGGGGAAAAAAATAGAAACAATATTGTAAAAAAAGCTACACTGCATTATGAATGAAATGAAAAAATTATATATAGTTTAACACAATGTAAGATTTACTCTAGTGTTTTATTTGATAGGCTGTACTAAAATGCAGTACGAAAAGCAGCATAGTTAAGCAGCTCCACAAAAAAAACAGCAGCATATACCGAAGAAGCCCTCCTGCATTGCAAATACATACTGTACTGCAATAAAATGTCCCTCATATTGGGTGTTCTGCCTCGGTATTTAAAACACCATTATTTCATTTTAATCTTTCGTTAAAGTGTCACTCTGAATTGCATAGCTATTGCAACTGCACGCTGAACTGCTTATTACTTCTCTCTCTCAATTACTTCTCTCAATTATTACTTCTCTCTCTCAATGTCCACAGGTTGTCTCTGGTCTCATAATCAGACTCAAGATGAAGATGACGGAATCGGTCTGCAAGGTGTCGAAAGGCAACTACACCAAAGAGCTCTGCACTCCAAAGAAAGGGAAGGTAAGATGTATCACAACCTTTTAAATCTGTAAGCACGGACATCTCGGAAGTTGAAACGAGGTGCTAGACCTTGCTATCATGAAAGTTTAAGCTTTCAGGTAAAAGTGGAACTTGATTCTTTCTTCATTTTTGTGACTAGCATTTATTCATTTGCCCATGTTTTTCTGCAGCCAGTGAAGATCTGTGAAGCTGAAATCTACAGCAGAGACTGGGAGAACTATCGGAACGTCAATTCCTTCACATGCGAAGCGGTAGGCACGCCTTTCTTTGCCCTTATCTTATAAAGACGATGCTATTTCTTGGGATACCTGAACGCAGAAAGTATGGTCCGTCTTTCTGTCTCTCTGTCGCATGATTTGGCCACCCGGCCAAAGTTTAAGCACTTGCTGAACGCCAAGCCATTTTGAACTGGTGGCTGCATTCAGACTTGTGAACATTGTCAGTCAAAAAGCAAACATTACCTATATCTGAGGTGCAACATCGATACGTAAGTGTTAAATGGTGTGTTCGTTTAATAGAAAATGCATAGATACCCGATTCTACTGACCCTAGTGTTTAGTAGGCCGCACAGAAAATGCGATCCTATGCACACGAAAGACGGCTGACAGAAGACTATCTATCATCTTTTGACGACATTTGCAGTGAAGCATGCAGATATGCGGTCAATTTTTTCATTCCACATCACGCGTGGGTATCAACTAAAAAAATATTTTATTCCTATCGTGTTCACACACCAATATTCAAATTCGATTCACGTCCAAAGTTTTGCTGTTCGCACAACTCTACTTTCTTTTTTTGCCTATTCTCAGCCATGGCTTTTGCTCTTCTTTTTATATTCTCCATTTGTCCGCTCGGCGCTCGGCATGAGCTCTCGTGACGTTTATTTATTGCGTGTGCAACAGTTTTCTTTCCCATTGTAGTGCTTGAACAGTACCGTTGATTAACCGGCATTTCATATTGCAGCGCTCGCACCTGTAAGTGATTCCCATCAGCGAGTCACTTTCTTTTTTGCTGAAATGAAAAGATTGCAGTTCAAAGCGATGCTTCATCACCTCAGTTTCTGTTTTCTAATAATGTGACATTTGCTTCTTGTCCCAGGCAATGTCAATCGTCACACGGATATCGGGAGTTCTTGACCCCAAGGTGTGTACTGTGGGCCTGTCAAAAGTGGTTACAGTTACATTGTAAATTATTTAACCTTTTCAACCTATAAGAATTAACATAACAGTACTACTTTAAGATGCTTCGTTTGAATCGAATCTAGCTTTGAACTATGAACATGTACTCTAACAAAAAAAAAAACAAAGCCAATGTGCAGCCACTTCACCTTCGACTTTTCCATCTGATATTTATTCCAGCTTCATTATTTGTTACCTGCCTGCAAAAATGTCCCCTTGTACGCTAGAGCAACAGTCATGTACGGCTACTATAATATTTTTGCCTTAGCTATGAAAATTATTTTACGAAGACATTTTTGAACACATACATTTTCGGTGACTGATTCGCCCTTTTGCAGCATATGAAACGAACTTGTAAAATTCTTCAATGAAAAGTAAACCTATTGACTAATAAGACAATTCGCGTACTTCTTCAACCGAGTAGTGTTACATTTTGCGACAACTCTAGTGTATCTTGCGATAAGTTGTTTTAGGCAGTTACGTTGACATCCTGACATGCACGGCGAATATGTTGTATCTTGAACATATGCATCAGATGTTCTTCTGACAAGATAAATTATCCTTGAGAACTAAGTGTTGGGGTAGAGGTTGCAGCTTTACATTGTGTAACCAGCTATACAGTTTAGCTTGCTAAAATGGAGGACTAGTGCAAGACAGTTCAGAACAAAAAGAACACGCGTCTATCTAAGAGTTCTCTTGTGCCATTCACTTTTTTCATTTTTTTTATTGATCCAACATCTCCTTATATATTATATCAATAAAAAAAAAACTTAGCCAAACTGATATCCTGTTACAACTCGACCTTAATTCAATGATGGCCCTGGATACTGTCATTGGGCATTACTTGACAGGCAGATGTGAATTTGGTCATTTGTTTTTTTCTCCAGGATCTAACGTTTGCCTACCTGTCCAAGCACCTGAAGCTCTCCCAAGAGCGGTCGCTTTTCAGCGTGTTTGCCCGAACGTACAACAAGACATACAAGGACAAGGAAGGTAAGGAGGCACTCAATTTTCTATCTTGAGTATATGTGAGATTTTTTTTCTCTTCATTTATTGTTTTAAAGGACCGTATGGGACTTCAAAATCATGGCTAAAGAACAAATAACGAGGGTCTAAGGCATATAAATAGTAGATCCTTGATTCTGCACTTGACATGTATCTCTAGTGCATCACCTGTGATGATGATGGCAATGCTTCTATTGTTTTTAACAATTTAGGAGGTCTCACCTGCTGCTTCTTTTTATTTTTCCAGAGCACGAGGCCCGATTCATGATCTTCAAGAACAACTTGAAGCGGATTGCGCTTTTCAACCGACTGGAAGAAGGAACTGCACATTACGGCCTTACGGAATTCTCAGACCTGTCGCGTAAGAGAACTTGCATTTTCAACAGTTGTTTAGCTTGTTATCATATTTAGTTCTTACAATGGCAAAGTTTTCCTCAGTGTTCAATATCTTATAATGACACGACATGCGGGGATTTGGCATGTTACCTCCACCAAAATAATGAATTAATAATAATAATAATAATAATAATAATAATAATAATAATAATAAAAACAACAGAATTAGTTGCTGTTCTGTTTTCTTCCTCTTAAGAGGCATCATATTTTCTCGCGTATAAACCGTTCCTGCATGTAACCGTTATTCACAAGTCTAAACTCAGTAAAAGCTTATATAAATATATTTGTATCCCTATTCCTGCGTATTGTTCGGAAGCTCCCTTGCTTGTATTACTGTGAAGCCACACTACAAAGCCACCTTGCGCACCAAAATTTACGTATAACTCTCACTTCAACTGTAGCTCCAAGTTTTTCGTATACTATTTTGTCAGGGTTATGTGTAAGAAAAAAAATGACATACAGCCAATAGTAGAACACACCCAGACTGGGCGTTATGGCCTTGCGTAATGAATTTCAATCTTCATGTTCAAAAGCTGCTTAGAAGTGTAGAAAGGCACCAGGATGTACCAACCGCAAGTCACCTGGTGTGAACTGGACAATTGCACTTTTGCCCACTAATGAACACCGCTTAGAAACGCAGTGAAAGTTGATGCTGAACACTCCCTGCACATCTTTACACTCCTTATTATCAATATGCAATACTCCAGTCGGCTAAGTTACTATGTTTCATATTTGCCATGTAGAAAAAAAAAAATTTGTGTGCCCTGTAAGCCAATGTGTTCTCTTTAACAGAGGACTGCGCCGTGGAACTGCATGTGCGGCCGCACGTTGTGTTTTGCTCGTATCGCCCGTGCTTGTTTGTCGTCTTCATGGGGCAGTGTCTTCATCTGCATTTCTTTAAGCACAATCTCTTAATCGGGGATGTTTGTGTCGCAGCGAGCGAGTTTGAGCGCCACTACCTCGGCCTGAAGAAAGATCTCGCTGAACACAAGGCCGAAGTCAAGCCAATTAAAGTGGGACCCGTGAACGAACCGCTGCCAGACCTTTTTGACTGGAGGACCAAGGGAGCTGTGACAGAAGTGAAAAACCAGGTGAGTAATCATTGGAGAAGTTAATTAGCATGTGTACAAGTATTTTTGGGGTGCGCATACAGGATGGGGTCACAGGAGACCTGGAAAGTTCTCCACAATAATAAAATTGGGTTTGAGAGAAAAAATACAGTGCTCCAAAGTTCTTTTTTTTTTTGTCAGTTCCTACGGTGTGAAGTGAATTGATAGCAAGTGAGGCAAAGCACTGAAAAAAATTGAGCAGCATTTTCAGGTTATGAATGGCAGGTTAATAATGCTGATAAAGACCTATAGGTACAGTCGAGCCTGCTTATAATGAACCTGAGCGTGACGCGGCATCCATTCGCTGTATCCTGAAGTTCGTAGTAAATGAAACACAGCTTTTAAAAAAAAGTTGCTAGTGAAAACACAAACTTTTTTGCCCCAAAAAGTCCGTGATGCACGTGTTTCGAAGAGCAGAAGCGATAAGAGTGGTCTCGAGTTCATTTAAAACGGCTGGGTGCTCGTTCGCCAAGACTTGTGGCATAAGCTGCATGAGGCACTCACTCCTAAGTTTCGTCGTTCTCGCAATCAGATTCCTCCAAATTGCTCTCGTCGCGTACTTCATTCACATTGCCCCAATTTGTGCACGATTCCGAAGTGTCGGCATCATCATCGGCCGTAATTAAACCATCGCAACAGATGTCCCATTCGCTCTCCCAGGTTGGAGTCGACGACACGCTGCCACAAATCGCCCCCGCAGTTTGGAAGCTTCAGGCTCGGCATCGGGCCCGACATCGACAGTCAGCCTCGCGAAAACAGTTTTGCGTGCATGTAGCCGTCACTGCCACCCACGAAATATTCACCATCTCCACAGCTGAATACCGGGACGCCCGAAGCGGCGAGTTGGCTGCCAGGTGGTCAACAGCTATGAGCAAGCGCTCCGCAACGTGGCACCTAACGCGCGACTTGCGCACAAGCCAAGCGGTCACACTTTCGAGGTTTTGTTCAGCGGCCGGAAAAAGCGTGCTAGTCCTTTCGTCGGCCATCATGACCACACACGCACACCAAGAGAGAGAGCAAGTCGCGCACACGCGACACACATGCCAGAACGCGTGGAACAGCTTTGGGCCCGTTTCCAGTCAGGGAACGAAACTAATTGAGCCAGCGTGGCGGGTGTCGCAGAGCGGTGGAGACGGGCGAAGGTGTTGGGATCAAGAGAGGAGAGCAGACTTGCGAGAGAAGGGCAAGGAGTTGCGATAAAGAGAAGGGAGGATGTGGCAGGAGGGCGACCATGAAAATTAAAACACACTGGAAGGAGGCAGGTTGGGTGGCTTGCTTGAAAGGTCTACAAAACTCGCACGTAGAAAAACTTGGAAAGAGTGCCTGCGTGCACTGAAGTCAAAACATGGCCACTTGGATCGGTGTGCGCGGTGGTGTTCGAAGAATCGGCGGCCATGGTCAAAAATCGTTTTGTTGCGCCGGCGGATTTGCGTGGCCTCATGAACTTCGATATTTCGCGATTCGTTCCTCGCAAATTAACAGCCGTTTTCGCGATTCCGCGCGTGCGCGGAAGGCATGCTGAGTTAAGTGCAAAGTGAGCGAGAACAAGTCCTAAACACGAAATGAATTGCAAATTATCAGAGTCAGTGGGGTAGCGTACTAGACGCAGACTATCGGATACAGTCGGTGGCCGACGATGTTGGCAAATGGTCTGGTCACTTTTGGCCAACGACACCAGCGACGGTGCCAGCGATCAAAAACAGGGTAGATAGCCGACCGGTCTTCGAAAGATTGGTGGCAGTGTGAAAACACGGGCCTCGTCTGGTGATGGGGGGTACTCAGAGTAGCGGGGTGACAAAGGACGGAGGGGTATGTAACAAAAAGCAGTCGGGGCATGGAGGAAGGAAACGGCTTTCCTTTTTCCATGGGTTGGAGAACTAGAGGGTCGCGGAGGCAGGGTTGACGTATAACAATAACAATGTATGGGCACTTCGCCGATGCCTGATCGTTGGTCAAAATTGGTTTCCCGGGAAGTCGGCAGACCGCCGACTCCGTTCGCTGTAACCGATCAGCGGCGCTCGGAGACGAGACGTTCGTTGTAAGTGCGATTTTGTGCCATTGAACTAGTGTATATTTTCACGGTCACACGGATATTGTACGTTTTAAGTGAAAGTTTTTTAAGTGGAGCCGTTGTATGTGGGCTCGACTGTACATAAAATGACTGCATTTTGTTTCAGTTTAATCCCTGCACAAGATGTATCGCTTTAATGAAATGTGCTGCACATTCAAGTTTTTCTTGACTCTCCATTAGTGTTTCACAAAACTACTGCCATGACAGTGCTTGTAATGCACACATTTTCGTTTCGACCGTAGGCTTTGACATACCACTTCCTAAAGGGAATGAAGTTACAGCTGAGAAGTAACTCCTTTGTAATTTCTGGCTTAATTGTTCATGACTGTAGCATGGTAAAACAAAAAAAAAATTTATCGCCTTTGAAATTCTCCTAAAGTGGGGCCTTGAAGAGCCATGCAAAATATTTTCATTGTTGCCATCGTCAAAAGATGGCTTCAGCATTCAGCATGTGATCGCCTTGCCGCAATGGACAGCCACTTGGTACCTCGGGATTTGAAAAATGCAAGTCATGCCTGGTTTCAGAGATTGCATCTTGTACAACGCTAACGTTTTGCCCTCGGATGCACAGTAAGACTATCTAAGGCAGTGGTTCTCAAATGGGGGTCCGGGAAGCCATTTCTATGATCTGCGAAACCCTCACCCGCATTTTTCTTTAAGCGTGACTGTGCCACGTATTGATGAACTGTCCAAAATGAAGTGACGCGGCACATTTGTTTGGTGTTTTAAGTAGCAATAAATGGCACCTGTTTCACGCTTCAGTTGTGTTTTGACTAGCCTTAGTCATTTTAGTTTCAACTTGCCTACGTACCCCCCCCCCCCTCCCTCCCAACCGCTGCAAGGGGTCACCCCCTTCATCGCTTCCGCCAGTTCACAAGAGGTCCCCAACACGTCCATGGCTGAGAACCACTGATCTAAGGCATTGAAGTGTAAAGTCTGGCCTTTCTATTGCTTTCGTTATGTAAGAAGAAGCTGCCAACTCCTCTCTTAACTTGCCTTCAGGGTGCGTGCGGTTCCTGTTGGGCCTTCTCGGTGACTGGCAATGTGGAAGGCCAGTGGTTCCTGTCACGCAACAAGCTTGTCTCGCTCTCCGAACAGGGTGAGGCTTTTTTTACCCGGGCCTTTCTAACGTATGTCTCTGTCAAATGCTCAGCAGGCCTATACTGATTTGTGTTTGGGTTTAACACGTTTCACGAGGTTGTATGTGTATGTGTGTGTGTTCAGTGTTCATGCAAGGTAAAGTAATATGGAAGCCTTAAGTGTAGCAACAATTGGTATGCACTATAGATGGAGATAAGTGAATTCTTCTGCCACGAATCTGGTCATCAAAGTGGGCTCTGATGTAAGCATATGAGGCGATATTGCATTGACATTGTGTAAACTGAAGACATTGAAAATAGGAAAGTTCTGTGTCCACTGCTTAGTGCTAAACTGACACGTTTTGCTTCGTAAGCACTGTTTATCATCAACACTGAAGTCAATACTGTTGATACTGGGAGAAGTGTTTGAAAGGTACTGCAAAAAAAAAAAAAAGTCGAGGGAAAAGAAAAAAAACTCGTCACAAGTGCTTGTTGGGCAGTTTACAACATCTGATCAGACCACATGTTTTCTTATGTTAGGAATTTCACTACCTGACCTCACCCCTTTAAAGGGCTAAATGTATTGGCAAAAGTTTATGTGCGGGCTACTCATTGCAAATGGACAAATCTATTTGTATTTGTTTTTATTGTGTAGTATTTTTCTCTTCTGCTAAGTCATCCTTTCCCCGCCATTAGTCTTTTCATCACCGAGAATTCTGAACTTGCCAATTCCTTGGTAATACTGCTATCATGGACAATGATTTCTCTTATGGGCACGTATTTCTGTTTCACTTCAGAGCTTGTCGACTGCGATCACGGGGACCATGGATGCAAGGGTGGTTACATGGGCCAAGCCATGAAAGCTGTTATTGAAATGGGTACGATTATCGCTGTGACACTATCATGACGTACATAAAAATGTTCTAGTATACACACCTACTCCTGTTCCTCTATTACACTAACACTTCAACATACTCTATATATACTCTATATGTTGCCTCTGTGTATTGAGTGTTGAAGTTTTGATATATGTAGACACTTCGGTAGGTGGATGACAAGGCTGCTCATATTGAGTACAGACTTAAAACGTTGGAGCTGTGTGTGTAAAACATTGTGCTAGGTGCTCCAACTTTCTTTGCGCTATAGATCACTTTGGTGGTAAGATTGCGCGCGCTCTTTGCCGCTCACACTAGACTAGAGCACGCAAAGCGTCTTTCGCTGTGAAAATTTATTATGTAGAATGAATTTGAGGCATGGTGAAGCCTCAATATAATGCATATGGATATGTATGGCGAATCATCATTGGAGGTTGTGCAGGACATGGTGAAGCAGCGTGTTCATTTCAGAGCAGCGAGTTAGTTGCCAAAATTGTCGATTTCTTCCGCTGTGGTGATCCTCGCTGTCCACACTGCATATGAAAATTAGGAACTAAGCCAGAGCGAGTAAAACTGTTATACAGAACAGGTCGTTGCAGGGTCGTTCTACTGTACTAACTGTCGTTCCCACGACGTATGATAGACACTAGCTCTGGAGTTTTCGTTTAGCTGTGATGATACAGAACTTTGGCATTGAGGGGACTGCTTGAAAATGTCTCGTTTTGTCTCCTCGTTTTACAGCGAAAGCTGTTATGAGATCGCAACAAGGGCCGATTTTGTAATTGTGTGCCACTTCCAGTACATGTAATCACTATCATGTGAAATAAGGGGCAAAAACGAACTAAATAAAAATGCTGAGGATAGAATGAGATATCAAACGGGGCCATCTACGTGGCAGCCCAGCATTCTACCACTGAGCCACGCCGGTGTTTGAAAATCTGTTGCAAACTGACCCTAGGTAGACTTTGTGTTGGGTAAGGAATGGCATTGACATGTGTAACAAAGCGTTTCAGAACAGTAAAGTTACAATCAGGTGTCGCACTAAGTAAATTGTGTGACAAGTGGATCCTTGAACGCTCCAACACATTGCAAAAGTTTCAGCATAATTCCTCATGGTCATCAACCGCAGAATCAACAAAGTGAACATGATGCCGTACAAGAGTGTAGCAAGTACCATGCTTCTCCAAAAAAATGTCTAATAATAGCACAACTGGATGCTTCCCTACTGCAAGAAAATTATCATGATTGATGGCATAGTGGGCACCATGCAAGTGTGCTTGTTGTAGTTGCCCCAAGAGTGTTTTAGAAAAGGCTCCAGAGTGGCCACTCTTCCAGCTTTTCTTGTGGCCGAGCTGCAGATTCCGCACATGCCTGGCGGTTTTTCTTTTCTTACTTTAATTTTCTTGGTCTGCATGAAGTGAACGCAAATTTTTGATTGACACAGCCTCACTCAAATGCATTTCCTTCAGGAGGTCTGGAGACCGAGTCTGAGTACCCTTATCGAGGCGTAGATGGCACGTGCGAGTTTAACAAGACAGAGTCCAAGGCCCAAGTGCAGAGCTTCGTCGGCTTGCCCCAAAATGAAACCGGTGAGAAAGCAGTCAGCTTTTGTGGCTTTCTGTAGATTGACTGATTCAATGACTGATTGATTCATTCATTGATTTGTTCATCCACATTCAGTATTTCCTGCTTGCTTGCTTTCAAGATGTTCGCTTTTCAAACGAGAGTGAAGTCAGAAGAAATGTAGCAGGTTTCATTCAAAGTGAAACTTTACAGCCTCAATTTCTTGAGTCTACCTAAATGATGCTCGCAGTGGTTTCACGGTTCTGTCTTCGCAAAGCATTGAGCAGCCCATTACAATGTTGTCGTTGGGTTTGGCTAAAAATGACCATCATGCCAAAGATGCCATGGATCCGACGTCTTCTTATCACGTTTAGGTCCTTTGTTGAGATGCTCTTCGTTTCCCATGACAGAAGCGTTGTGGAAAGCTGATGATGGAGATTCTTACAGCCACGTACCTCTGATGTGTCTCAATTATTCGCGCTTCTTTTTCGTTAGAGCTGAAGTCACCATCTCTTTCTTTCTGTCTTTCAGAGCTGGCCTACTGGTTGATGAAGCATGGACCAATTTCGATCGGAATCAATGCCAACGCAATGCAGGTTTGTCAATGAGGCAGCACATTCTCGTGTTGCTTTTCACTGAAACATTCAGGGGAAGGAACACGCTCCTTAGTAGACATAATGCAGAAATTCTGAGCTATGCTGACGTTCGCAGATTTTACATTTATGGAGCCATGGAGATGCTGTTCTTGAGAAGGCCTAATGAACTGAAAACGCTGTCGAAGTGGTGCGATAGCTGTGCCAATTGCGCCAAACTGCACCAAAAGGTGAAACCTGCTACGTCATGCTACATTTTGGCCGAAATATCGTAGCTCGCGCCAATCGTGCACCAAGACAGCATTTTTGCAGTTTTTCAGAGAAAAAGAGACAGTGTTACCACTGTAATGTTTAGTGTTTATGAGAATAGACAGGTGAGTGTTATTGACCTAGGCACAAACCTGCCACACAATTTTAATACACTCGTATGGCATAATCAGTGTTTTGTAGTACCAGTAGAGCATACTGTGAGATTACTTTATATTAAGTTCAATGTAATAGTTTCTAACTGTGATAGATCAAGTTAGAGAAATGTTATGATTTGTGCGTCTTGAGGACGACAATCTTACTTGACTTGTTGACTCCATAGGGTGAGCGGTACTTGAACAAAGACCGGACCATTATGGTTTAGTTGGCTTGTTTTAGAGAAATTGTAGTACTCTTTGCTGCAGTTTACTTCTATGAGATTGTAAGCAGAACCCTTAAGGCTTAATGCCATACAGCGGCAATGCGACGCACTTCTCGTCTAAGGATGACTTTACATGTTAAAAAGGGTATTCAAAAGTAAATATTGTATGTACCCTCCCATTACAACAAACTTCCTGGAGTGTGGTTTAGATTTCAAGCACGAAGGACCAGTTACGAAACCCTTTTTGTTACTATAACTGGTCACGAACCAGGGTAGTAGCAAATCTGGCCTTTAAACACGGCGGCAAGCACTTATCCACTGAACGACGGTCTATGCTGCAGTGAAAGCAGCTTGTGCTCGTGCTTCCAGTACACAAGCTGAAGTGTCAGAAAAAATCAAAATCGTTTGCAAACATGAAGTGAATTTCAGAGAAGTGCGAGGTAACCCAAGGTCTAGGGATTCAGGAAACCTAAGAATATCTATCGACAGAAAAACTAAGAGCAGTGTCTGAATTTCATCTTTATGAGTATTTCAAGTAAACATGCTTGCATGTGGCCGTAAATCGACTTAGTGATGCTACTACATGTGGTACAACTGCCACAGTGCCCGGGTGACATGAATGTTTGCGTTCGAAAATGTGTTACAAATTACTGCTCCAAAAGGTAGTTATGCTGCTGTAAAGCAAGGTTTTAGCTACTCTAGAAGTTGGACCAGAATGGCTTTGGTCAATTAAATCACTGAAATAATTCGCGTACTACTGCAACCAAAATGTCAAAGGCCTGTAGAAAGCTGATTACATGGATAACTACTGTAGCAATACACAACACGCCTGTAATGTTTCACATATGTCTTGTTTTTTTGTCTCCATATCCATTCTCAAGCCTCAGTAATTGTAATTCAAAAGTGAAAAAAAATTTTTTTTGTTACCTTGCTTTCAGTTCTATTTTGGAGGCATCTCACACCCATGGAAGTTCCTCTGCAGTCCTACGGACTTGGATCATGGGGTTCTTCTCGTTGGATTTGGCGTGGACAGTAAGTTCCAGATGGCTCCTTTGTTTTTCTTGATGCGCAACAGCCAGCTTTGGCAAATGTGTAAAAACTGTCTACATTTGTTTGTTTGTATAACGAAATTTGTGATATGATTTATTCTGGTTTCTCAATACAGTGGACTCTCATTAAAAGAAACTCGGTTTAACGGAAAAGTCGCATAAACAAAACTATCTAGGCACTTGGAAGTGTGGCAGCTTGGGCTAGTTGCTATGACATGACGATAGTTATAGCGCAAGAACAGAATGACGACACAAAGACAAGGTGTCCTTCTTGTCTATGTGTTGTTGTTCTGTTCTCGTGCTATAACTGTCATATCTAGGCACATTTGGTTGGTCTTTTATATATTTAATGATAAAAGTTTAGGGTAATCAAAACATTTTTTTTTTGCTTACATCGGTTAAATAAAACTAAAACGGGCAAAAATTCATGAACAGCGAAAGTGGCCACGGCAGTCTTGCAATCATGAAACATATGCCGAAGCTAGTCTAGCCAAGCCATTCCAGCGATCGCACATGTCCGCGCACGCCAAGCAGCGATCGACGTCTCGTCGTGAACTTGAGATGGAACCTAAAAATGGCAGCACAATGCATTTTTGCTCGCATCGAAAGTAAAAAGAATCATTTAAGAACCTGACTGCAACATCCTTTCAAAGACGGATATTGCGAAAAAGTTCAATATTACAAGTCCATGCTGTCGAGGACACTCAAGAACAAAGAGAAGATTGAAGAAGCTGTAAAGCTTGGGAACTTCGCTGCGGACAGAATACGGGTGAGAACGACAGCATACAAAGAAATCCAAGATGTTCTTTTCCTTTGGTTCAAGCGAGTGCGCAGTGCGAACTTTCGGATCAGCGGCCCCATTTCGGAAGAGAAGACCAAAGAGATTGCTACTCGGATGGGGATCGAGGACTTCCGGGTGAGCAATGGCTGGCTGAGCAGTTTTAAAAAGCGGCATGGTCTTATCTTTAAGACAGTTTGTGGAGAAAGTGCGGCTGTAAATGGAGATATGTGTAGCCACTGGCAACAGGGGAGGTTGCAAGAAATTTTGGAAGCCTACGATCAACGGGACGTGTTTAATGTTGATGAAATGGGGTTGTTTTACAAAGCACTCCCTACTAAGACTCTCGCTTGCAAGAGCGAAACTTGTTTTGGGGGGAAAGCGAAGCAAAGATCGTATTACAGTGCTAGTGGGTGCCAACATGGACAGTAGCGAAAAGTTGAAGATGCTAGTCATGGCAAAATCAAAGCACCTACGCCGCTTCAAAGGTGTGCGCACGCTGTCTGTCACATACCACGCGAACTGGAAAGCTTGGACGACACTAGCAATCTTGAGACATCGTTGCGGGAAGAGGATAGAAGACTTACCCAGCAGAACAGGAAGGTTATTTTCATTGTTGATCAATGCCCTGCTCATGGTCAAGTCGATAGACTCAAATCGATCAGCCTAGAGTTCCTGCCACCAAATGGGACTGCAATCCTTCAACCGATAGACTAGGGCATAATTCAAAACTTGAAGGTTCTCTATCGCCGCCAAGTCCTCCGGCGAATGCTTCTTTGTGCAGACAACAGAAAATATTACAATGTGGACTTGCTCTCAGCTCTTCACATTCTAACCAATGCCTGGGAATGCGTGAATGTCAACTGTGCAAAGGTGCTTCCATCATGCAGGATTTTCAAGACAAGAAGTTCTTCCAGATGACGAAGGCAACATTGCCGAGGCTGAGGAGGCTGATATTCTCTTCAGTGAGGTGACAGTCTACTTCTTTCACGTATGTGGACTATGAAACACTTGATGAAAACATCGCCACATGTCGTGAGGACAGTCTTGAGGAACTGATTGCTGAAGTTCGAGATGAGGACCTGTGCTCCAGTGGTGATGAGGTGGTGTGTGATCCTGAGCCCATTTTAGTGACAGACAGTGCAGCAAGAGATGCTGTCATCTTGTTGCAGTGCTACTTTGAATATGATGGTGGCACAGATTTCCTGCCCAGTCTTTTGCCCATGCACTCTTACTTTGTGAAAAAATGCTTGAACACAGCCAAGCAAACTGTTATCACCTCCTTTTTTTTTCTGAGTCAGTAATATATTAGCAAAATTTTTTTTTCTAATCAGCTATAGTAGTATTGTATACTTCAAGATGGTTTTTTTTTTCAGTCAGCCACAGTTGGTGCTATTGAAATAAAGTCATATTTCATTTATTTTGTGGGCTTTGCTTAAATGAAACTTCTCATAAATGGAACATATTTTCTTGCCCCTTCGAGTTCCGTTTAAGAGTAGTCCACTGTATTAGTTCTGTTGCAAACCACATATATGTATTTCTGAATTTAGCCAAGTATATTTTATGCTGCAGGTTCGATTCATTGAACACCTTGTGTACTGTACTGTATTGTGTACATTCAGTCATTGTCTCTGTGACAAATTAGAAGATTGGTAAACATTGATAGAGAGAGAATCGATCTTCTGTAGGCAACCTTTCACATGGAAATGTTGGCAGCTGGTAGTGAAAAAAGAAATCGGATTGACCAAAATTTATGATACATTTGTGACAAAGTTTCCCAGTGAAACTATGACTGCATCATAGCCAGGTTTGGCCGTACAGTGACATTGACAGCACGGTCACCTAATCATCTACTGTTATTTCTTAATCGACAATCAATCATACCTTAACAGACTTATCATGATTATCGATGCTCTTGTGGACTATCATTCGTGCGTTACATAGCGGCTGTACATGGTGGCTCAAATTAAATGTCAAGAACGGTCATCACTGCCAATAGGTACACAGGCTTCTAAGAGGGGTCAATGCTTGGCTCTATTGGTATGCACATGCAAGCAAGTGTCTCCTAATACTGTGACTGTGCACAGAGCTCTCATTTTTCAAAGCTTGTGGCAATACGAGATAGGGTAATGAACGGCACAATCTGCAAGTGTGCGGCAGTAGAGGACAAGCTCTTGCTTCTTTCTTCGAGCGTTGTCTTTTCCGGCTGTAGCGACTCTCTTTGTACTCCTTGCAGAACGAAGTTTCCGTCGCAAGCCTGTACCCTACTGGATCGTGAAGAACAGCTGGGGCAAGTACTGGGGAGAAAAGGTGAGAAAAGGGTACTGACCGAGTTTGCTCTGCCACACAAATCTTCTGTATACAGAGATCGCTCTGTGCAAGCATGATGCTTGGTAATTGAACCTAGTGGGCCTTTAGGGTACTTTAATAAATAAATGAAAAATAAAAATAAAAGTAAAGCTGTTTAATTTTTCAAACCTGTTTGACGCATCTATTTTCTTTCATTTCAGGGCTACTACAGGGTTTATCGTGGCGATGGTACCTGCGGTGTCAACCAGATGCCGTTGTCCGCCGTAGTCCCACCGAAGCACTAGTCGATTCAGTTGTTTTGCTTGTTCTCTCTCTCTTCCTATTTCTTTTATTCCTACACGAACGTATGTGACATGCATTCTTTTAGAATACCAACGTTTATTTACTAGTACAGTAATCCGTGATGCTTACAGTGTCACAACGCCATGCTCTAAGCAATTAGTGTTTATCTTTCTATCATTTGGGCTCATTGGCAGTGTTAACAATTTTTTACATTGTGCTTCTGTGACGTTTGTTCGTGTTCAGTGGGGTAGCTTATGTTTTTTGTCATTGTTAGCATAATTTAATGATTTTAAGATGCCCGCACACATGAGCGATGCATTTGAGGGTAGCCTGAAATGATTTTAATGATTTTTTCTATACATACTGAGCCAGTAGCACAGGTCATTTGAATCTTTAAACGTACAGATTTAAGATATTTGCATAGAGTGTGTAATCAGTTATAATATTTCAAATGCGCACTTCACTTCAAGTTGCAGTGTTGCATCGCACAAAGTTTTCAGTCACCTATACTCGGGAAATGGCACTGTTTTGGTACGTCTCTAGTGCAATGATCCTATCGTCATTTTGGCACTTGAAATGGCGAATGAAGCTTGAGTGGCTGGGTTTTTGGTGGCACAGAGATCAATGAGACAGACGCAAAATGTGTTTTGCAGTCTACGGTCCACTAGAAAATGGGGCGTTGCCCAAACAGCTCAGTAATGAAGTCGAGGTGAAAAACTTGACTTGAGACAATGCAGACCTTAAGTTGCATGGTGGCTATCGTGATAGCTTAAATTATGGTGCAAATAATTTCAGGAAACCATTTCAGGTACCCTTTAAGGCATAAAGAGGGAAAATGAAAACTGCCTTTAGACTTAATTGATTAAAGTAGTTGGAGTGCTAACATCTTCGACATTCAGTGTCACAGTAGGCAGTTCTATTTCAGATAGCCATTGCATGGTAGGATGGTTGGTTCGCATGCATGGAAAAGACGCATTTGTTGTTTCGTAGATGTGCCAATTTGATACTACCACGCACAGAATTGTGAAATTTCGATTGTAGAAACTGAGGATGCTGGCACCCCAAAATGAAAAGTGTTTTATAAGTGTCTTCAAGGCAAATTGAGCGTGAAAAGGCAGAAGCGTGAGCATGTGTCGTCTGATGGCACATAGTGCAAAGCACGGCTGTGACCAGTGTTCTTTGCGTTCTTTCGGCCGCTTGATGGCATCGATGAGACTTAGCAGTGCTTGTCACATGCGTAGATGTCATGGTACTGCGACTTCAACTGGTGACGCTTACTGCCTCACTACAGGATTTGGGTTGTTCCAGACTAGTACTGTAACGTTAACTGGTCACAATCAACCAGACAAGTTATAAATGTAGCATTAGCATATGTGCAACGTCATCTTGAGCTGTGGCACTTGCCAGGTAAAGTCATGGACATGACATTATCTAGTTGCACTGGAAGCGCGGTTTTCGTACATGTCGTTTTTGAATACTCGATACCTTGCGCTTAATACTTAACTGGAACTACTTAGGCACAAAGTATGCATAATTAACTTTCCACTTTTCTATCATAACAAGAAAAAAGTATCTTCGTGCCCATAGATTCTTCAATCACCTTGAAAATGACCTGCAAAGTCTGCTGAAATGCTTGCTGTGTACTAGATCTTAATAGATATGTCTTCTGATCACAGTTGAATTTCAAGTGATCTCGCTGTACTAAAAACACGACATTCTTTCACAATTGTTGTGCGCTTTTGAAATGTTTCAGAATGTGCTGTTTGAAATGGCTGCACAGTATCAGTACTGTTCTGCGGGTTCAAAAAACTGCAATGTTTTCTTCAGTTTTTTACAATGCTGCGCTGTACAACCCTGTTTCACAATTCAGACTTTCACACACAGATGTCAGTGCAAGTGCACAGCCCTCTCAACACAGCAAGAAAAAGAATAATGAACACACGCACTAAGCAGTTTCCGGGAATCCTCTCGCTACAGCGTGGTTTTAAAACTTTTTTTTCAGACTCTGCGTATCACTACTACGACAGTGTCGTAATGTAGCTATGGTCGTAGTTTTTCTTACACTTGTCACGAAGGCAGGCCAACCCACGAGTTACTATTAAGAGCTCACTAATCGTGGTGCTTCATTGTCATAGGCGGCGCTTACGCTTTCGCGTATGCACTGCAGGAAGCAATCGTACCATTTCGATTGGTGGCATACATTTTAATGTAAAATTGTTCTATTGCTACAGTGCTTTGTACTTACGCGACACAGCTGCCAATGTTTTGGATGCAAGGTTTCGGATCTCCCTCTTTGCTGCTGCAAGGAAATGCTTTTGTGGTGTCTGCACAAGCAAACAATTGCTTCAAACGGTATGTCGTGCTTATGAGTTGTACATTTGACGCGAGAGCCAAAGAACATTGTTTAGGGATGATATTAACATGTGCTGCTTAGTGTAATTTAATTTAGCCTCACAGATGACATTGCCACAGTGTGTTTTTACGTATGCAGCACAGTTTTCAAGAGAAAAGCCGCGTTGTGTCACACATGCCAGTGATAGCTGTGATTCTTTGCTAGATAGACTTTTTACTGATTGCTCAGTAGCACAGCTCTCGGTTTTCACATATTTCAGCAGCTTCATGACTGTGCTAGTAAAACAGCATGAAGCAGTTTTATTTTCAGCAATGTGATAGTTACTTTACAAAATATTCACAAAGTATGTATCTCTATGCTAATCTGACATGCTGTATCTATTGTATCATCTGAATGACATTAATAAGTTGGATGATATTATTATGTCGGGCCCAATATTGCATTTGCACCAATTTTGGTGCTTTGCAGAGCAAACCATCTTATAGCTGTTTTAACTCTTAGAAAAAAAAACAATTGTCTATTACCATGTACTTGGTCACAATATTTAAACTTGACACCCATGCTATCTATGAAGACTTTCAAAAGTGTGTGTGACACATTTAGACCAAGCTATATTCAGCCACACTAATTTGTTGAGTGAACAAACTGTTTCTTGTACTTAAATCATGTTTCAAGGGTGCTTATATATATGCCCTGATAACTCATTTTTTGCTGTCTTTGCAAACGTTGATCTATGCCCTATAAGAAAGAAAGATGTGTAGATCGCAGTGGCTTTGTATAACCTGAAAGCTCATTTTGTAAAGGTTATGCCTATTATAGTTAGATACATAGTTTTGACCTGTCTTCCAAATGGTAATTACCAAATGCGCGCTCATTGAGGTTGCGCCTTTCATGCCGTCCCTGCCCGTGATCGTGGATTTTAGTGGTTTTAGCAATCGGCAACTTGCGTTTTATTTTTACTTCTCTATTTTATGCTTGACACCTGCAGAATGCAGGATTTGTACTTACAGTTAATCACTGGTTGTTAACTTTCCGAACAAATGGAGAAGGCGACGAAGAAACGCGAACATCGTGTACGCCGACGAAACACTGTGTCCATCTTTTCCTCATAACCAAACTATGCAATTCTTTGTATACTCAAGTTCTTAGATTCTCCAGTTGATATATGCAAAGCGATTGCTTCTACAATTTAATGGGTCTTGAAGCAAACCATAGCACAGATTGTGTGCTAATGTACGCTTCCAGATTCGTTGAAACATTTAAGGCACTAGCCTGACTCTCCAGCTTGTTGCAATTGTTTCTGCTGTGTTGAATGTCAAAAGGAGTGCTGACATGACGTTTTTGACATCATTTTGGTACTCAACAGAGATCATAGGCCACATATCTAAACCCTAAACATAAAAAAAGTACTGCTATGCAGCAATTCAGCCATTTGGGCTAGTTGGTAGCTATTAATTCTAAATGCAAAAAGTGGGTCACAGTACGGGACAGGGACAAGAGAACAGTGCGCCTGTGTTGTTGTTCTCTTGTCCCTGTTCTGCACAGTACGGAACAGGGGCGCTTGTGTTGTTCTCTTCTCTTGTCCCTGTTCCGTACTTTTCTGTGCTGTACGGAACAGGGGCATCCATGTTCTCTTGTGCCCATTTCATACTGTTGCGTGCAGTACGAAAAGGTGCACTGGTATTGCTCTCTTTTCTTGCCCCATTCTGTGCAGTGCGGAACAGGGACAAGAGAACAGTGTGACTGTGTCGTCGTTCTCTTCTCTTGTCCCTGTTCAGTACTGCGCCGCACTTTTCGCGTTTACTTCCAAGTGTTTGGACAGTCTAAATATGGTACCATAACACGTTCCTGCAAGCCAGTTTCAGTTTTGGTACCAAAAAATAGATTCGTCACGATGTCGCTGTCGTCTTGCAATCTCTTCAGTCACTGCCCTACTTAAATGCACAGCCTAGAAAAAAACATGCCCACCAGTTCTGCCAAGCTGTTGTTATGAGCATCATCATCACATATGTGCTTGTATTACACAAAGCAATCAAATTTCGCTCTGTGTCATGATGTAATGATGAGGATGGTAGTGTGTGCGGCATTAATATTAAGCGCAAAACCAAAATACCTTAAGTGTTTTCAATTTTTCACGTGCTACACGTGCAATAAACGTGCTGTAGTAACGTTTGTAGAACTTTGAAAAAGTGTGTCAGCACCCCTTTTGAACACTGTTGGATAAAGAGGCTGACTGTGCTAACGCACGCGGCACGCCACAGTTGGATACTGCAGCGTTTGTCTTTGCTGATTTTGCGGTGCTATGAAGAAGAGGAAACAAATGTGGCATGAATGATTGATGTTTCACCTGCACAGTTGTTTTTTACTTTTACATTGACTCGCCTCTTTTATTAACTCTTGTTGGCAGCACATTGAAGAGGGTTTCTTGTAGATACCTCTGTCCTTTTGTTGCAAGTCATTAGTTAGTGCTTTACAATAAAATCTTGAAACAAATCTGTCCAGGGAAATTCTTTATAAGGAGTATGGTTTGCTATGTGGCAGGTAGATATGTCTCAGGACTGCCTTGTTCTGCACCTCGCCCAAAAGAAAAGCTGCGCCTGATGATTGAATCTGAACTTGCAGCCCATGTAAAATAGCTCGTCAATTTACGCCCTCCTACACAGACATGTGGTCATGCAGTTCCATTTTGTGGCAGGGCTGCTGCATCGAGCAACACAGAATCTGTCTTGAAGACTCAAGCATCATTATAAAAAAAGTGACATCTTACACGAAAATAAGTTCGTCCTATCCAAAAATTCGTTATAAAGGTTTATTCCTGAATTTATTCCTATGGCAAGACTATTTCTCATTTACTTTCTTACAACGAATATTTTGTTATATCCGGGTTAGTTATATTGAGGTTAAAGTGTAGTAATGTCCCTTCTGTTAGCCTCAATGGCAAAATAATGTTATCGAAAAATGGACAGACCCAAGAGAAAGTTACAGGCACGCTTAAGAATCCTTTCATAGACTGAATGTGAAAGCACAGTGCATCTTGGTGTTACAATAGTAGCGATGTCCCCACTATTTCTGTGTCCATATCACAAGGCATCATCACATGACACGATTACTGACACTTCATTTTATGTCATTACCAGTTGGTTGTGTCGGCTTTCTTGTCATTGAGCGGCAACGCCAGTGCTCGTTGAATGCTGGCCAGCAGACGTCCCATTTTCTACTTTACAACATTGCATTTAAAAAAAGATGTAATTCATGATCAATGCACACTGTGCTTTCAAACACCCACGCTTTCTACCCTAAATATGGATGATTGGCCAAGTTTTCCATCCTGCTCGACTGGAGTTGTGAACACTTGTGGCAGCGGGCTTCATAGATTGACGAAAACTAGCCTGGAGAGATTGCTTTTGCGAAATAAGGCACTTTATATATATAGTACAATGTGTGCATTCAGTCTTGCAAAACACTGTCTAACCAGTCTTCTAGGTCGACAGTCGGCTTCTGAGGTTCTGCAAATGAACGTAAAGAAAATTCGTTTGTAACGTTGAATAAAAACAGTGATCACATTGTTCTCCTAGCCTTCAGCTCTGGCAACCCCTCAGATGTAACTTGGCTACTTTATAGTTCTACTTAACTCATCACATTACAAGCTGCCTGAAGTTTGCTGCTAGGCAGTCTGCTAAAGACAACTGCATTGTTGGAAACATGATTCGCTACTTAATTGTAGCTCCTTAATTGTAATAGCCACAAACATCCTATTGTTTAGACTTCCGTGTGCTCCTGTGTTGTTCCTAGGCCTTGTGAGCAAATTACTAGTAACGAAACCATGCATACAAAACGTTAATACAGTAGCATTTCGGTGAGGGGAACCTGAAGGGACCGTGAAAATTAAGCGCGAGATGTGTGGACTTGTACATTTCTGATGACCAAACTTCTTGCATAGCCTCCACAGCATTGCACCTGCCGTACAAAACGGAGTATGTAGTACTTTCAAACAAGTCTTACGAGGCGGTGGTTTGACGGGTTCCTCCATTGCTTTGGGCTCCGGTTCAGCAACGGTTGTAGTGGCGGGCTCTTCAGCTGCAGGAACCAGATCTGGGTAGAATTAAAGGAACACTGAAGTTGAATGCTAAATCGGTTAATAGATAGTTCTTAAACAACTATCTTGGTGTTAAGTTAGTGATCAGAAGCTCATAATTTTCAAGAGAAACTGCCGTTCGAAGCTACATTTATTGAATCTTATGCTGAAACCTCCTATTCTTTTTTATACCATGAAGACCTTGAAGTGTCTTTTTCTTTCTCATATTATATCTGTGACAGCTCAGTGACAGTTTTTGAAAGCTGTTACTTTACTTTTTGGTTACTCTAGAGCAGCACTCGGCGACTTGCAGCCCACATCACAGTATCACGCGGCCCCCGGCAAAATGTCAAAATGACCCTTTCCCTTCCCCTTGTAACACTCTCTCAAGGCACACATGCCAGTTTTGAACTAAAATGGGTTTCTGTCTGTAACCTACATTTTTTAAAATTGCGCTGTCGCGACATGCTTGTCGAAAAAAACATTTCTATTCTAGTTTTTTACATTGACCATTGCAGTTTGCCAAATTTGTTCCTTTTTTTTCTGCAATGACCCTGCCCCCTTGATTAGCTGTATGGGCCCCGCTGTCTCAGCACTATGCAACTCGGCCCTCCACCTCCGAAGGTTGCCAACTCCTGCTCTAAAAGATGAAGCATGGTTACCTTCATATAACGAAACATCGGTTGTAACGAAGTAAATGAAAAATAACTTGCAATAAATATACACCAGGAATAAGCTTTTATAATGAATTTTCAGATATAATGAACTTACTTTCCTGTAAGATGCAACTTTGTCATAATGAGGTTTGAGTATATCTTCATCGATACTGAAAGCCCTACAATACACTGTCAAAATTTTGCAATGTTGTGACATGCTAGCAAGGAAATTTTTAAGACAGTGGCACCAGCTGTCTTTTTTCACCTATCATGTGAAGTGCCCTGTCATGACAACAGTGGTCACTACAATATTGTGAAAGGGTAGTTTGATTAATTGATTGACTGATATGTGTGGTTTAACGTCCCAAAACTACCATATGATTACAAGAGACGCCATAGTGGAGGGCTCTTCAAAATTTCGACCAGCTGGGGTTCTTTGATGTGCACCCAAATCTGAGCACACAGACCTACAGCATTTTCGCCTCCATCAAAAATGCAGCCGTTGCAGCTGGGACTCAATCACACGACCTGCTGGTCAGCAGCCGAGTACCTTAGCCGTTAGACCACCGCGGCGGGGTTTCCCAATGCATACAAGTGGCTCCATTTTTCTCTTCTGTGTCCACTCAAAGTAAAAGCACACACTTCATTGAACATAGTTTCTAGAACACGGATTAGGATTCACGACGCATGCACGAGGCACGAACCACCAAAAAAATTAAGTGTTTCAAAGAGTTGATGGGAAGTGTAGCTTTGTTACAGAACAAGATGGGCTTGTATAAGACAGCTGCAACATGCAAGACATGCCACGACATCACTAGACGTCAAAGTTCAAAACAGGGTGCAATAAGTTCATCTCTCTACAATCAAATGATGAAATTGAAGTATGCCTTACACATCCACAGAACGTTTGTTTGCTGCAGCATGTGAGCCCTGTGCTACAAGTGTGCAGAAGTTGCACCTGTGTTCTTTTTGAACAGCTAATTTGTTTTTTCTGCTTTTTTTCACTTGTTTCCCTTGTTTTGCATATCTTACGTTGAGCGAGCCCACAAGGTATGCTTAATCTATTTCAGAAACTACCTTAAGACAATGTCCATAAAAAAATTCTGTTACTGAGTCAAAAGATTTCACAGAATAACACAGCAAACCTTTCTCGGCGCGTTCCTCTGTAAGTGAGAGCAGGAACTCGAGGCTTCTTTCATCGTCGTCCTTTTTCTTGTCCTTCCTCGAGGGTTCGTCTGACTGAGGGGACTTGAGGGACAGGTTGAGCAATTCCTCCAAGTCGTCTTCGTCCTTTGGCTTGGGCTTCGACTTGGCCGCCGCAATTATGGCCGCTTGCAGCGTGTTCGTCAGTGACTCCCCGACGTCTGGCATTTTCTTGTCCTGTCGCTTTCCCGTACGGAGAAACGCTTCGTACCTTTCGGTGCAGGCGGCTGCCTCGTCCTTAAACTCCTGTATAACGTGGGCCTAGAAGGAAGCAAGGCGTGTGAAACCAGTAACATTTATTGCTGTACAATAACTCTCGCAGGAATGAGCAGGCCTACTAGACGTAACATCTTAGGAAATATAACGCACCACTGCAATGTACAAGGTCATGGGTTTGATTCCAAACCACGGCAGTCTCACTTTGATGTGGGCAAAATGCTGAAATACCTGTCTACTTAGATGTATGAGCGTGTTAAAGAACACTTGAGTTGTTGATGTTAACCTATAGTCTCGCACTATTCTGTACCATGAAACCATATGCCAGTCACACGAAACCCCAGAATTCCCGAGCAGGTAAGAGAATATTCAAGGCTGATAAATGCCCTCACTCACTGAATCCTTTCATGGACTTGTTCTAACCATGCGATATTTCACCAACGAAATACTTGCAGGGACATTCAACCCTTTTCTTCTGCACTGAAACAGGCGCAAGGGGGACCCTCATGCACTAAATGAAGTTGAAGTATTGACATTTACGGAAATTTACACTTGCATGACATTTACGGAAATACCTGTCTACTTAGATGTATGAGCGTGTTAAAGAACACTTGAGTTGTTGATGTTAACCTATAGTCTCGCACTATTCTGTACCATGAAACCATACGCCAGTCACACGAAAACCCGGAATTCCCAAGCAGGTACGAGAATATTCAACGCTGATACATGCCCTCACTCACTGAATCCTTTCGTGGACTTGTTCTAACCATGCGATATTTCACCAACGAAATACTTGCAGGGATATTCAACCCTTTTCTTCTGCACTGAAACAGACGCAAGGGGGACCTGCATGCACTAAATGAAGTTGAAGTATTGACATTTACGACAGGTCATTCTTTTTTTTTATCGAAACATGAAATGGGAAACATGCTTAACCAAAAAAATGAGTGTAGGCGTTTAGCGTTTTGTTCACACACAAAAATGTGCAGCAGTGACAGTTTGTTCAGTGCCCGGAGCTAGTGTAAAGCTGCAAGAACGATTTCTCGTTGACTGTGCAGGATACAGATAAAGCATGACGAGTAGCGTGCAGAATTCCTCACCGGGAAAATGTCCTCGGGCAAGCCGAGGCGCTCGTGCACAGGAATCGTTAGCAGAGCATCAACGATCTTGTCGCAGTCGATCGAGAAAAACTCGTTGAGCTCGGCCGGTTCATCTTGCCAGTCCTGCTGCTCCTTGAAACGAAAGTGCGCACTTGCTCCAGCTGCGAAACAAAATGACTTTAAGCGTTTAAAAACTCGGTTGGCGAATTGGTCTTGTTTCATTAGATATGTAATACTGTCACAGAGATACAGTCCTGACAGATGGAGACCAAGCACTGTACGAAATTTTTCAGCTTTGCGTGCAATGTTCTTGTGTAGTTTATTCACAGCAGATAATTTCTGTAGTTGAGCAGTATTGTTCAGTGCCTGAATAATTCATGCCGTTCTTAAATTTAAGCTCTCTCTATAGGCGTCATTACCGTATGCTTCTTTGGTGCGATTAAATCTCTACTGCCCAAAGCTGTTGCAGACCCTCAGAAAATGGTGTAAACAAGCAAGCATGCATTTTGCTCTTATATCGAGCATACAAACAAAGTCAGCAGTAGTTTTAGCAGGCTATTTACACATGCAATATATATCCTTATGACCCACCCCTAAAAAAATTCACAAGGCAAGGTTGTCTCTGCAAAAAGCAATTCCTAAGGCAGCAATGCTGGCCAATAATAATGAAACTATCGAAGTTATACTTGGTAACTAACTAGAAATCATAGCGCTGCCGCACTCGACAGTGTACTTTCTAAAAATTTTTTCCTTCTTTTTCTTCAGAAACGACTTGGTAAAAAAAAATTCGGAAGTGCCACCTGAAACGCACGAATTTTCGAATGCTCCCTCAACTGAAAGATGTCCCACCGTTTCGGTGCAATGGTACCAGGTAGCGCGCCGCTAGCAATGGATTTGGCCGGGCGCAAGGGGGAGGGGGTGAAAAAAAAAAGCACTGGACCCCCCTTCCCTTCACAGCAATGCAACACAAGTTTGCTACCCCCTCAAGACACTCAACTGACGCTAATGCGCACAATGTAGTGTCAAACGCACAATGTAGTGTCAATGTAGTGTCAATGTAGTGTCAATGTAGTGTCAATCTATTTGTGTGTTTGACCATCTAGTTGTGTGTTTGACCACACTGCAACAGAGTAGAAAAACGGGACATTTCAGTTCCCCGAAAACTCCAGCAGAAGGATTACTCGCCTGACGCGCTCAGCAGGAGCTCAAAGTCCTCGCCGCGCTTCCTGTTGTACTCGGTTTCGACTTCGACCGGTTCGTCGTACCTGCCCCAATTGCTGGTGAGTCCCCTCTTCCTAAACTGCGGATCGCACGTTGGTTCTATCTGTAATGAACAAAGACAAAGACACGCGATGCCCGAGATTATTTTATTTAGTTAAAAATCGATCTCTTTGAGTTCCACGAGCGACAGAATCGCAATTTTACCGGTGCGCGAGCGGACGTTCCGGCAGACGAACTTTTGCCTTCCGTCGCTTTGGACGCGTCTCCGCCGCAGTCAGCAGGTTCCGATTCCTGCGTGGGCTGCTTCGTTTCGGCATCCAGAGACTTCCATCTCTGTCGCTTGTTTTCTTTTCTCTTTTCTTTGCCCTTGGGAGCCATCGCGATAGCTAGTTGCTACAGCAGTCAACGCGGATTTCGGCACTGTTGACTCCTGAGTGGACTCTGCGCGAGCTCACGTTGACAACATCATGGGCGCGGCCATCTTCAAAATTCGAGACCGACGCTCTACTGAATCAGTCTATGTACGTAAAAAAGCTTGTTTATTAAAAAACAAATAATAAAAAAATGAAATAAGTATTTTACAAATAGTATATATTAGTTTTTACTTCAAATAATTTTTTGAACAAAAAGTGAAGTTAGGGTGTAGTTATTTTCATAGCGGCCGAAACACAAGTATGACACCGGGCAACAATGAGACCAAGATGGCAGCGCCCACGAATGCGCAATGTTTACACGTTGTTTTGAAGCGTGTCGATGTCGGTGCATAATTTCTTTGCTTCCCGGTCGTTTTACCTATCGTAGAAGGTCACAAGCGCGTAAATGCTATAAAGTGACTGGCCTGTAAGCATGAGCGAGCCGCCACAGAAGCGCAAGCGGCATTCTTTCGGCGGAGACCAGAGGCTTTTGCCTCGCGTCCGACAAGTTCTGAGCGAAAACGACGACCTGCATGCCGAGAGCATCGTAGCCAGGCTACAGCGACGGCATCCCGAGTACCGACGCAAGAAGAGGAAAGCTCTGCTGTACTCCGTGACCAATGCGCTGGAGGTAATCATTCAGGAAGACCCGCAACCGGGTACGGACACGGTGGGGCAAGAAGATCTCGACGGCAGTAGCGTCACCGACGAAGACGTCGTGCCGTATCCCGATCGGAACACGATGAACAAGTCCATCAGCGACCTGTACAAGACGCCCGACTCCAAGCCTGCGGTGCCCAACGACAAGGGTTCCGAGAAAGCACGCAAGGACTCCCAAGAAGCCCAAGTCTAACGACGTTGACGCCGCCATCCAAGACAACCTCAAGAAGCGCATGGCCAAGGAGAAAGAGATCGCTCTTATTAACCCTACGGCTCGGTTCGCGGACCTGGGAGGGATGGAAGGACCCCTGGAAGAGGTCTGCAACATGCTCATGCACCTGAAGCATCCTGAGGTGTACAAGAAGTTGGGGGTCGTGCCGCCTCGGGGGTTTCTGTTGCACGGACCTCCCGGTAGCGGGAAGACCCTGCTGGCTCACGCCATAGCGGGTGAGTTGGAACTCCCATGATCCGCGTAGCGGCGCCCGAGATCGTAGCTGGCGTATCCGGAGAGTCGGAGGAACGCATACGCGAGCTGTTCGACAGGGCCGTCAACAGCGCCCCGTGCATCTTCTTCATCGACGAGATAGACGCTGTGACGCCCAAGCGCGAGACGGCGCAGCGCGAGATGGAGCGACGCATCGTCGCCCAGCTCCTCTCCAGTCTCGACGACCTGTCGCAACGAGAGCTGCCCGCAGAAGTCCTCGTCATAGGAGCCACGAACAGACCCGACGCCCTGGACCCCGCCCTGAGGAGAGCCGGACGGTTCGACCGCGAGATATGCCTCGGCATTCCGGACGAAGCAGCCCGCGAAAGGATTCTCGCAGTACTCTGCCGGAAGCTGACGCTCGCACCGGAAGTCGAGCTGAGCGTAGTCGCCCACAAGACGCCAGGCTACGTCGGCGCCGACCTGATGGCCCTGACTCGGGAGGCCACCATGTCTGCGATAAACAGAATCTTTCGCGGTAATCGAGGAGAGCGTCAAGGCGACCGGGGAAGGACCGCGGAATCGCCTCGACGTCGCCGTCTCCCTGCTGAAAGAAGTCCCTCCTCTGGACGACGAGCAGCTCAAGAACCTCTGCGTGGACGTCGCGGACTTCGAGAGCGCCCTTAAGCTGGTCCAGCCCTCGGCCAAGCGCGAAGGGTTCGCCACCGTACCGGACGTTACGTGGGAGGACGTGGGCGCCCTCTCTTCAATCCGAGAAGCGCTTCAGGTCGCCATCTTGGCTCCCGTGCGACATCGGGACAAGTACGAGTCCCTGGGTCTTGTCACGCCGACGGGAATCTTGCTGCACGGACCTCCGGGTTGCGGGAAGACCCTGTTAGCAAAAGCCATCGCCAACGAGTCCGGAATCAACTTCATTTCCGTGCAAGGGACCCGAGTTGCTCAACATGTACGTGGGCGAGAGCGAGCGGGCCGTGCGACAGTGTTTCCAGAGGGCCCGCAACTCGGCTCCGTGCGTCATCTTCTTCGACGAACTGGACGCCCTGTGTCCTCGACGTTCGGACTCGGCGGACGGTGGCTCAGCGTCGCGAGTTGTGAACCAACTCTTGACCGAGATGGACGGCCTGGAACCCAGGAAGCAGGTGTTCGTTTTGGCCGCGACCAACAGGCCGGACATAATCGATCCGGCCATGTTACGACCGGGTCGTCTGGACGAAGTACTGTACGTCGGCCTGCCCAGTCCCGACGAGCGCGTGGAGATCCTGAAGACGTTGACGAGAAATGGAACGAGACCGCTTCTCGAGGAGACGGTCTCTCTCGAAAGCGTCGGCAAGGACCAGAGGTGCGAGGGATTCTCAGGCGCCGACTTGGCGGCGCTCGTCCGCCAGGCGTCGGTGATTGCGCTGACCAAGTACTTGAAGGACGGAGCTGAAGGCACGATCCTGGTTGGCAGTGAACACTTCGACGCTGCTTTCGGAAAGGTGTCGGCTTCCAACAAGGGGCGTAAGACTTTCAAAAAGGTGGAAAAGGTTAAAGTGGCGTCTGAGAGTGTTGAATGAGCAGCAGAGTTTCCATATTTAATGTCTTCGAAACATTCTTCTTTTTTTAAAATGTTCTCACGTGACCCGAATCATTATTGCTCCCTTGTTCATTATGAATTACGTTGCTTGCTTATGGAAAACTTACCACAGTTTCCTATTTATTTTCTTCATTTGAATAAATAAAAGTTGTACATACATATTGACACATGTATTTAGGAATTGTCACTGTAGACTGCATTCTGTTTGAAAAAAAGTGTATGCTCTATTGTCATGGGCATGCTGAAGTCATCAGTACATTGTATGATCTCCCATTGAAAGTTCGGGCGAAAATATGCCTTATACAAGTGTGTCCTGCTATAAGGTAACGGGAATTATCGTAATAAATGTACAGGGGATAGATGAAGGACAAAGTGGTCGTCTGGAGAAATCTAGTTTATGTATAAGAAATGTACGAACTAAGCTTCTATGGCTGGGCTTTGATTTTAAGGGGAAAACATGTTCTTCGAATGATGAGAAATAATTGAACATGGAATGTCGCTGGGAGCTGCGTTTCAAGTGGTTTTCATCTCGACGTCAACTTGTCGAAAATTTGGCTCCAGCGACATTCTCCATAGCACAATTTCTCACTCTTTTTGAAGTAGTAATAAGTTCTCGAAAACAAAAAAAATATGTTAATTTATTTAATCTCGATTGAATTTTTGTTACTTCATTAAAGGGTCGTCGCCTATGCTAAAGTACTCGTTTTGTTTCCATACGCCGTTATGTCGAACCCAAGCTGAGGCTGCATATGTCATACTGTGACGAGGCGACTAACATTTTGTTACTAATGCAGTTAATAATGCTAAACTGCAGAGCGCAGCCCCGCCGCGCTGGTCTAGTGGCTATGGTACTCGGATGCTGACCCGCAGGTCGCGGGATCGAATTCCGGTTGCGACGGCTGCATTTTCGATGGAGGCGGAAATGCTGTAGGCCTAGTGCGCTCAGATTTGGGTGCACGTTAAAGAACCCCAAGTGGTCAGAATTTCCGGATCCGTCCACTACGGCGTCTCTCATAATCATATGATGGGTTCTGAAACGTTAAGCCCACATGTCTGTCTAAACTGCAGAGCGCGAATTAGTGATTGTCCTGTGCTATGTGCGCTTTTCTAAATGTCCCTCACTGACTTTGCACTTGGTAGCTATAATTAGAATTTGATTGATAGGTTGTAATTGTATCGGTGTAGCTAGTGGCATGATCCGCAGCTCACCATACTGTCTGTTGCACATGTTATCTTTTTTTATATATATTTATGCAATCGTGACGCGGCTAGTCGAGATGGAACGTCGTCAAGATACCCCGTAACTTTTGTGTGTATGTTCATTCAATAGAGCGTCTTCCTCTTATCGTTATCGTGAGCCCCCTCTCGCTTGAACGATAAGGAGATAACGGGCGCGGGCAGCGAAGTGCCCGCGCCTTGACCACGCTTATTTTCGCCGCGCTCTGTTGTCGCTGTTGGCGGACATGCTGCCTTACGCTCGTTACAATGTGGTCACCCCGACTTGTCAACGGTAGCACGGATGGTGTCCCTCCTAGCATGGGTGACGGCCGAATTCCACACTCAGGTGCGTATGCGAGTAGCAGTTCGAATCCTTATTACGGCTGTTGCCACAATTTTGTCGCACTTGCTGATGAGACGTGGCACGCAACAGTTATTTCGATCACTCATCACATCACTTTATTTCCTTAAAGGCCCCTCAAGGAGATATTACGTAAGGGGTGGGTATACAGTGTAGCCAGGCGAATTCACTCGGAAAGAAAGTTTGTTATACATTGTCCAAGAAGTTTGATGGATTAGCAATGGCCGCAATTGTGTGGGAAAGGCCATTCGAATTGTTGCTGCTCGGGGGGAAAAATAAAGAGGAAAATGTGAGGGTCCGAGCACGCGTGGGCGTGACACCTTGCAGTTCATGTCCGCGGCGACGAGGTATGCGCGTAAGGTGAACGATGTAAGGTGGATGACAGAGATTGATTGATTGATTTGTGGGGTTTAACGTCCCAAAACCACCATATGATTATGAGAGACGCCGTAGTGGAGGGCTCCGGAAATTTCGACCACCTGGGGTTCTTTAACGTGCACCCAAATCTGAGTACACGGGCCTACAACATTTCCGCCTCCATCGAAATGCAGCCGCCGCAGCCGGGATTCGAACCCGGATGACAGAGATCACTGTAATCAAATTTGCTGGAATAAATATAGCGTGGCAATGCGACGACAAAGACAGAGATTAGATAAACCGGATTTCGTTTTCAATTATGATACGTTAGCACGGTAATGATAAGTGGAACTGAATGAATCTAGGAGCGCGCTTTTGGACTGCTTCCAGGGCAGATGCGAGGTAGGACTGGTGTGCGCTCCAGATAGCGGATGCGTACTCCAGCTTCGGTCTGATGAGTGACTTGAAAGCTAGTAGATTTACGTGCGTGGGGCATGATGAAGGTTGCGTTTCAGGAATCCTAGTGTTTTATTGGCAGCTGCTACGATATTTGTAATACTGAGTGCGCCAAGTTATTTCGATGGAAGCAACATTACATGCAGTTGAAGAGCCATAGATAGACGTAGCAACAACAGTATCGCGAAATGTAGACTAATTTGCTGGGAGGGCCTTCTGCTCTCTCCTAGTAGAGTACCAATTTACTGAATCGGCTAACACTTTTTTCTAAACACACTGGAACTGAAAAAGTACCGCATTCGTTAGGCTCTTTGCCGCTGTTCTTTGACGGCGGGATTCGAAGCGTAAGTGGTCCAGCTGGCTCGCCTCGCTAATGTCATGGCGCACTCGCAGCCGTTTGATTAAACGGGTGTATGGCTGAACTTTGTGCGACGAGATACATCTGCGTGGTAAATATGAATGAAAAATGGTAACATGAAAATCATGGCGTACGTGTACTTCATGTACAGCATGATTTACATATGCCACGCTGACGGTGGGCTCACGACCGATTGGCTGGTCAGATAATCACAGAAATTTGTATTTTGTGAGGTGATTGTATTGCCAACATTAATGACAGGTTGTGACATGAGAGTCGTGGCATACATTTCATGTACGACATGATATACATGCCGCGTCTAGGCCTTGTGTGCTCGCCGCTGGTTTGCTAGCTTGATAGCTGGCATCTAAAGTAGTAGCCCAATACACGTTTTGCAAATTTGTTTAGCGGAAACCCGAGAGGTGGCGGAGGGGAAAGAAGACAAACACCCGTTTTGTAGCACGAAGCCACAAGGAAATCCGTACGGATTTCTCGGAAACAAAAGCCTCATAGTTGCCGAAAAAGTCGTCCTGGTCCGGGGTTAGCAGTGGCTGCGGGCGAAGCTGACGAAAAAAAAAGGAAAACCGAGATAAAGGGAAAGGTGGCTCATTTTTCATGAACTGAGAGTCATCCTAGAATAATAATCGTTTTGAAATTATTTTTTTCATCATCAGCGCCAGCTTCTGTTGCTGCACCGTCCGACCCATGCACAGCAACATAAGCCTGAAGTACACTTCCGCTATTTCATTTGTTGCCTTTCGTTTTTTGTTTAAAGTGTATATATATACGTGTATACAACACAGTTAAGTTGGCCAAACAGTGATAGTCAGGATAGTCAGTCAGTACGGGGTTACATTTTAAAGAAAATTGCTGAAAGCCTGCTCATACTTGGTGTAGGAGCACATACCATGATGATTGCTACAGCGCCAATTGAGGGCTAGTATGCACAATGCCAGTCATCACGACATAACATCTATTTCAAGCACAGGGTGGCGCCATTTTAACACAGGGTCTCAATGCACAATGCCAGTCATCACAACATAACTATTTTAACACAGTGTGGCGCCAGATGGGAGGGGTAGGGGCAGGTATATGCGAGAAACTCATGCGTTGTGATTGGCTATATTTCTTCTAGGGAGGAGGCAAAGCATGGGAAAGAGGCAGCCAAGAAATATGAAAAGGGGACGTGTGGCTGTCCCTTAGCCCCCTCCCCCCCTCCCCCCGCACTGAATATTCCCTCCGCGCTCCGGCTTAATTTAATAATGTACCGCCAGCATCGAGTTCTGGCCATGGATAACAGAGACCAAAAAAAATTAAGATATTATATGCGCCATGTATTCTTGCAGACGTCGACACCAAAAATGACACAATGAGAGCACACAGAACGACTATGATCAAGGGTGTTCTGGAAGAACGAGTCATGATCCTGGACGGTGCGATGGGCACGATGATTCAGCAGTTCGGCCTGGACGAGGCGTCGTACCGAGGATCGGAGTTCGCCCACCACGGCAGGCCTCTGCAAGGCAACAATGACCTGCTCAACCTGACCAGACCGGACATTGTTATGGAGATACACAAGGTTGCGTGCCAAGAGTTTACAATTTACTCAGCTTTTTTTCATGGGTCTCTACGCTCACAGTGTAAACGACATCTGCAACATGGCAGGTATGATGTGCGGTTCTGGCTCCCGCAACCGAGGCATAGAAATTCACCTTTGAGGGTTTGAAATTTACCTTTGAGGTCCCGAGAGATGGCTGCATTCAGTTTCTGGGTTTGAAAAATAGGATTGGGCAGGAGCACTCGTGCTGGCGGTATTCGCCTAGGTCGGTTAAGCCCATTCTTGATTTTCATTCTTGTCACTCAAAATTTGTCAAGAATGGTGTCGCCACTTCATGTCTCGAATCTGTTTTGCGCAAGTCGTCCCCGCATCAAATGTCAGAGGCTTTTGATGACCAGCTTACTATAGGCTGAGGTTATCGAACTTTCCAGAAGGAAAGCTGGGTCTTCACAGTGAAATATTAAAAAACTAAAACAGGGTGCAAAGTAAGAAATACGCCGACCAAGGTGAAATACACAAAAATTAAAAAGACGTTTCGGTTCCCCATACGGGAGCCTTGTGCCCAGTGTCTTCTTAAACGTCTTTTTAATTTTTGTGTATTTCACCTTGGTTGGCGTTTTTGTTAGTTTGCACTATGTTTGTCCCCGACCAGACGGGATTCCGTCGAACTCTTGACTATAGAAACTCAAACAGGATGGTAATGGCAGGGCGGGCGTCGATAAAGGTTTGCCTTTCACGTCCATTCCATATCTTGAGGCCTTCTCCCAACGTATAAAAAAAGGTGGGAAACAGACTCGGCGTTAATGTGGTTTTTTCGTCCATGCAGGAATAAGCTGAGCCTAGTTTGCGCAGTGGTGGATAAGAAAGTTGAAGGCAAGGAAAAAAAAAGTACTGTGATTGTGAGGTCAATCGCCGGGAAACGTTTATTTAATGTGGAATGGGTGCGGTGTATCTTATCCCCTTGTCTTGTGGTAAGTGCTATATTGGGCAAACTGGAATATGTTTGAATAACCTACTAATGGATCACAGAGCATCGCTGAAGGCCCACCCTTCGTCGAATCTGTGCCTACATTGCAGGGATTGCAAGTGTTACCCATTAGTTCGCGAAACAAGGGTGTTGTCCCGGCACTGGGATAGGACAGCGAGATGAGTTGCGGAGGCATTTTATATACACAAGTATGGCGACACGTATGTTGCGAGGCCTTTGGTGACATTGCACGAAATATAGAGATAGATTATCTCACTGCCAACCTCTAATGTTTCACGGCATATTTTTTTGCTAGGTATATATGTGTATCCTTCAATAAACTTTCACTTGCTATTGTCTGCGCTTGTGTGTGTGCCTTCTCTGTGTCTTGTCCATTTTTTGCGCAGCACTGTAGTTACGAGGCATAGAGTTTACCCAAATTAACTATAGAGCAGACCCTGACGCTGCCATCGTTCAGCCAACTGGGGAATGATGGATAGTACAAAAATTGGTCCTTGTGCTTTGAACGCACTTGCGGCTTTGTTGCTGTGTTGCCATTTGGTTTCGGATAAAAGAACGAATTGTTGGGAACTTCGTGAGCCTATTTGAAACGACGAGCCTGCTAAACCTTCGACGAGCGTCGTTTTGCGAATTCAGGCCACGCGGAGCCGAAAGAAGGAACGCTAGTCAAGCCAAATTTGTGTATTTCTCGTGATTCTAATGGCGGCTGAAGTGCCTTGCGTTACAGCTCCCTTAGAAACTATAGCGCTAGTTCCCTCTATATAGTGTGGCATCGGCTTCGTGAATATGCGTGGGTTTTTTTTCTCTAAATTAATTTCTTGGGTTTTAGCGGGACAACTCAGTGCTCTCCCATAGTTGAGTACGAAGTACTCGAAATCGTTAAACATTTTTTCTATACACATAGGAAAACTCCATGGAGCCAGGTACTCGTGGTATCAAGTATCGTATAGGCTTTGAGAAAACCCCAGCAAATATGAACATGCACGCACACGCGCACGCACACACACACGCACACATACACACGCACGCACACGCACACAAACACAAATTTTACAATTTAATCGCATGCCATTTACCTATACCATACAGGTATTGTCACCTGCTTTACACTAATATTAGTTGAAGTTTACTCATACGTATCTGCAGACCTCTTTTTGTGGGTAAAATTGGTTCGTCTGCCGTTATTTATTTATTTATTTCTTGTGGCAGCGCTACCTGGAAGCTGGAGCCGACTTCGTGGAAACGAACACTTTCACTTCGACAGCTGTAGCCCAAGCCGATTACGGACTGAGCCATCTGGTGAGATCTGTGTACTTGCACATTGTTTTCGTCCGAGCCTCGCAAAAACACGTTCTGTATAATTCCGTTTAACGCTATACAGTGGCACACAATTTAGAGCCAATGAGGTTACGCATAGACGACTTATGCGATGCCGATCTCCCCCACAAACGTTCCTCACATTGAGCGTCTTTCAAAGCGTCTGCCCGTGTGCAGACGACCATTTCGGCGAGATTTGATTTATCTTATCGATTCGCTGAGCCGCCATCTTGTTTAGACAGCAAAGTAGCCTGCATCGTATTCGTCTACGATGCGGTTAGGGTGGCTAGAATGGCACTCTAATGCGGTCTTCTCGCAGCTGTCTATTTTGCCGGCTACGTGAGATTTGGAAAGGGACTTAGGAGGACCGCCGTCCATTTAGCTGTCTATTTAGCCGTCTACCGTGAGTATTGGAACACACCCCAAAACTCGTAAGGCGCACGCTATGCCCGCAACGCCCGCAGCCCCTGCAAACGTTATTCTAAAACTCCCTATTGTTTCGTGCTCCCCCGTGCGGATAATGGAGCTATTAGAGCTTGCTTGACTTCTGCACTGAAACATTCAATGATTTGAAGTGACAGGAACGTCAGTAGAAGACGACGACTCCGCTGCTACGTGGAGTGCATGACGTCACACACGCCATGGCAGAATTGCAGTCGTCCGTAATGAGCGAGATTTACAGGCGGGAATTCGTAGGGCTCAATTTGCAATGAAATATTCTTCTGCAGTCAATTTTTTTATATATGTACAGGCACAACAGGCCCTCTACTTCTATTTCTTTCCGCATCGTCAGCCAATACGGTGTCGCCGGCACCTCGGCCACGAGGGAGGGGAAAACACCTCTCACAACACAAGGAGTGGCACAACCCAACACCATATATGGTCCCGGCGCCCCAAAATGTTACCAAATATGGTCACGAACGCACAGCAGACCCCGTAGCTCTCCCGGCGAGGAGGAACCGAATGGGGAGGTGGGGGTGGCCGCCACCGCCGGTCAAGAACCGGTTCTCCCCCAAACACTTCCTGCTTGGCTCCCCAGGGCCGATCGTAACAGTCTCTCGCGCGGGGGGGGGGGGGGGGGGGGGGGGGGCGGGGGGGGTGAAGATCTCGATGGCTGAGGTTTGCAGCCACTGTCCGGAGAGATCAGCGCCGGCAGTCGGTTTGGTGACGACCGTCTTGATGAAGTAGAGGGCAACACCTGCTTCATTGTGGGCTCAACAGACGTCACATACGCACATGAAAACACAACTACTCAGCCGGTGAGCGCCGGACAATTCCGCCAAACTCCACCAGGCAATTTTCCCCTTTAACTGATATTAAAGGAAATACACAATTTATTCAAAATGTTACTCACACTTTAAGGTGACACAAAACAACAACACTGGAAGCACACCGAACCCGAACCCTGGATAGCCGTGTCTTCAACGTTTTAAAACAAGTACACCTAAAAGAGTAAAAAAAAACAATCACTAGCTCTTGTTTAGGTCAGGAAAAAAAATGCCAGAGTTCTCGAGACATCCTCTCGCGTCAGGGGCATCGACTTAAGCCATCAGCGTTGCCATGGAGTACACCCTTTTTGTAGCGTATTTCAAACGTATATTGTTGCAAAACGAGGGCTCCAACGCAGCAGGCGGCCGTTCTTAGAGGACATGGTCTGTAGCCAGGTGAGAGGACAGTGGTCCACTTCCACAATGAACTTGCTTCCGGCAATATAACAAGCCAGTTTCTGGACTGCCCAAACAAGCACGCACATTCCTTTTCGCTAGCTCTGTAAACCTGCTCGCGAAGGGTGAGTTTCCGGTTAACATATAGGACGGGATGCTCTTGATCCCCCTCATCCCTTTGACTAAGAACCGCCCCCATGCCTCTATCACTAGCGTCGCATTGTACTATGAAAGGCCTCGAGTAGTCCGGTGAACTAAGCAAAGGTTTGCTCGACAAGGCCGCTTTCAAAACGCGGAAAGCCTTTTCTTTCTCCTCATCCCAGTCGACCATTTGGGGCTCGGTCTTGCGCAACGCGTCAGTAAGAGTGCTGGCAATGTCGGAATATCTAGGGATTACTTACGATAGTAACCAGCTATTCCAAGAAAAGCCCGAATATCGGTTTTCGTTCGGGGCTGGGGAAAGTCCGGATAGCTGCCACTTTCATTTCAGAGGGACGGCGATGCCCTCGACCGATAACATGCCCGAGATAGAGTACCTCTGCTTGTGCTAGCTGACACTTGGGCGCCTTTACCGTTAAACCTGCTTCGCGTAGACGTGTCAGTACTGCTCTCAAATGCGTCAAGTGTTCTGGCAGGACGAGGAAAACACGGCGACGTCGTCCAAGTAAGGCAATGCGAAGTCCTCTTGACCACGCAAAACCTTATCCATTAAGTTGGAAAAACAGTAAGGCGCGTTCTTTAGACCGAAACTCAACACTTTAGGGCGGAATGTCCCCAATGGTGAAATAAATGCAGCATACCGGCTCGCCCTCTCGGTGAGCGGCACCTGCCAGTAACCTCTCACTAGGTCTAGCGTTGAGATAAATTGCGCGCTGCTTACCCTCTCGACGCGTTCCTTAATGTGGGGAATTGGGTATGTCTGATCCTTGGTGATGAGGTTTAACTTACGATAGTCTACGCAAGGACGCGGATCTTTGCCGGGTACCTCCACGAGAATTAACGGGGAAGTGTAATCACCTTCACACGGCTCAATCACACCCAATTCCAGCATCCTGTTAACCTCTGCTTTTATTAGCTCAAGCCGGCGAGGTGACACCCGATACGTCTTAGATCTTACCGGTTCCGACGAGGTAAGCTCTGTCATGAGTGAGGACGGATGTCCGGCCTGGCTCGCTTACAAATCTGTCCTGAAACTCGGTCAAAAAACCGCGCAATTCCTGCTTCTGCTTCGTTGTTAGTTGTGACTTTGATACTAAATCCTCAACTCTTTTCTCGATCGGGACTTCGTCCGATTCGGGAGCTAATTCAGGGATTTCTGCCGGAACCTCTTCCGGAACATTTAAAGTCATGTTCACGATGGCTTCCCTCTCTTTGTAGGGTTTGAGTAAGTTGCTATGATACACCTGGTGTGCCTTACGACTTCCTGGTAATTTACCACATAGTTGGTGTCAGACAATTTTCGAGTAATTTCGGCCGGGCCGACCCATTGCACTTCAAGCTTATTCTTTTGGGAGGGCCTCAACAACATGACCCTGTCTCCTACAGCAAAGTGTCGTGCTTTAGCGGTCCGATAGTAGTAAAGCTTAGCCTTCTGCTGTGCTTTGGTCATCGCACTCTCGGTCAGTTCTTGGGCTGTTGTTAGACGATCCAATAAGGTGAGGACATATTCCACTACTACAGGATCATCACCCTGACCTTCCCACGACTCTCTCAGCATACGAAGAGGAGACCGCAGTCTGCGGCCGTAAACAAGTTCCGCTGGCGTAAACCCTGTTGTCTCATGTGGTGCAGTTCTTAGTGCAAACATCGTTGCAGGTAAGCACATTTCCCAGTCAGTTTTCCGTTCAAACATAAGGCTCTTAACACTCGCTTCATCACGGAGTGAAGCTTTTCTATCGAGTTCGACTGCGGATGGTAGACTGAACTATGCAATAATTTCACGCCACACCGCTCTAGAAAGGTGGTCGTTAAGGCACTCGTGAAAATGGTGCCCTGGTCTGATTGTATCTCGGCAGGAAAGCCTACCCGGGCAAACACGGACAGAAGTGCGTTCACTACTTCGACGGAACTTAGCTCTTTAGCGGGACCGCCTCTGGAAATTTAGTAGCTGGGCAGATTAAGGTCAGGATGTGACGGTAGCCTGAAGTTGTCTTGGGCAAAGGACCTACTGTGTCAATTACCAACCGACGAAAGGGTTCCGTGATTACGGGTACCAGCTTCATTGGAAATTTCGCCTTATCTCCCGGCTTACCCACTCGCTGACACACATCGCAAGATTTTACAAACCTCTCTACATCTTTAAAGCATCCAGGCCAGTAGTATTCCTGTAAGAGACGATTTTTCGTCTTCTTTACGCCTAAGTGGCCTGACCATGATTCTCCATGCACCAAACTAAGCAAATCCTGACGATACGCCTGAGGTACGACTACCTGGTCAAATTCTACTCCTCGCCTATCTAGATATTTTCGATAGAGTATGCCGCTCCTCTCTTGGAATCTCACATTTCGTTTGGCGATTCCTTCTTTCGAACTGTCCTGGAATTGCTTAAGCGTTGGGTCACCCTTTTGTTCGGTTATTAATGAAGCGGGGCTCACCTGCAGCAGCCGACTGAAATTATCCGAAGTTGGCATGACACACAACTCTTTTGTAGTTCCTAGTACCTGGAATGTGTCACCCTCTGTGCTATCCTCTGTACTACCAGGAATCGGCTTGGGAGCAATGGCATTCTCTATTTGCTCGGTCAACGAGACGTAATTGACCCCTTCCAATTCGGGAGGAGGTTCAACGTCGCCTTTAGGAATGGTTGCCTCTGCGACTACGGCTTCTGCAGCCTGTTCTCGCACAAGTCGATTTGTTTCCGTGGTGTCCAACTTGCAACCAGGCCCGTTGTCGATTTGAGGCTTGTTTGCCTCAGTGAATGTTGCTCTCGCAGCCAGCGCACGTGCCTTTGATCTAGTCAGTGCCTGCACTATGCCTTCTCCCAACGTTAGACCTTTCTCCTTCAGCATTTGATCTGACTTATTTGAAAATAAGTAAGGATACTGAGGGGGTAGATATGGCGATACCGCGGCTTCTGTTTCCAATGTTCCAAATGCGCCTTTAAGGACAACTTTAGCTACGGGAAGGCACTGACTGTTTGCTTCTACGGCTTGTCTAATCCAGGCACAGTCTCCTGAATACTGTCCGGACTGAACAAAAGACGGATGAACTACGTCCATAGTGGCTGCGGAGTCTCTAAGAACCCGACACTGCTTGCCGTTCACGGTAAGGTCGTACATATAGGGCTCTAACAACTTCATGTTCTCGTCGGCTTCATTT